TCCTGGCGTGGGTCTCTGCTGTCCGAACACCCACTGAGGGAGGCCTCCATTGTTTTCATTATTTAGCTTTAAGTCTGAAACCTCTGGGGGGCATCAGTTGAATGAGTAAAGCAATAGGGCTGCCGAGCTGCCTACGGAGTGAAGCCCTGTGAAGTTTAGGTGTGGAGAGTCAGCGACAGCAAGGAAGAGGGCAATTTGAACCTCTCTTGGGCTTTTTCTCTCGGCCCGACTGTTTTCCCTGAGGTTATAGCTTGAGTTTCCATTTTCGTCAGGTCACGGAATGTCAGGATCAGAAGGGACTCGAGTCTAAAACTCAAACCTGTGTACCATGCATTAGCCCAACATATCACCCCGGATCACAGTCACAGTGCACGACTGTCCTCGTTGCTGTTACCTTTGGTAACTTCCAATCACCCAACCTCAGCCTGTGTGCTTAAACTACACTAAAAGTTCGCCTTTAAATCCGTTCTTTTTATTCCTCCAGAGTCCTATTTTCTCCAGAGAAAATGTACTTTTTCCCCAGTGATCCTCCTATGTTACAGGCTCGACTCTCTGTAAGTCTTAGCTGCTTTTCTGAATAGGTTCTCATTTCTCATCCCATTTGAACTGTCGAGCTCAGACCGTGGGATCTGAGGGCCAGGAAATGCAGAAGGTTTGCTCCTCTGACCCAGCACGCCGGCTGTGCACTGCTGCCCCCCACGATGCTGTCAGGATGGGCCCTGCCTCGTCACACTGAGATGTGGGAAGCTTCCTGTCCGAGGGCCCTCCTCCCTTGTGTCTGCTGAAGCTGGGCTGGGTCTTCATTTTGTACCTGTGCAGTTCCTTTTTAGTACAAGAAGAGGTGTTCATATGTATCACAACTAAAGCCATCTCTTTAGCTACAGTCCATTATTTCAAACTGCTGATCATTTTGGTCCTGATTCGAACCATCGCTCAGCTGTGTTTTTTCTGCAGATGTAAAATCCTTGTTCTCATCTGCATCTTTCGTAAAAACGTTACCCTCCTTTTCTTCCCACTGCCTACCTCTCAGCTTTTATTTGGTCTATTGGTATACCCATGCTCACTCCCCTGCGTAAGTCTTCCACATGCCGGGGGATGGCTGGATAAAAAAAGTGAATGAGTGGTTCTTGTATTTGTCTTTTGCTTTCTGTCCTCCCAGCCACCACTTGAGATCCCTTTTGTCCCCGTGGACAAAGTTATTATGTGACAAGGTTTTCTTAAGTCCCACTCCTTGTTCCTTCCTGCCCATCCAAGCACAGCTGCCAGACGGGCCCATCTGGATGACACATTAGCGCTGCTCAGTGATGCCCCTGTCCTTGTTTGGGAGAACAGTTATGTGGCTTGGCACCTGCCTGCCCTCTGGTGTCATCTGCCAGAGCACCTCATCTTGCGTCTTTGATGTTTTACCAAAACTCCTAAAAATGAGGAACCTGTTTCTTAGTTTTCTTGTCTTTCTAATTGTATGGTTCAAAAATTAAACATGTAACTTGCTCATAGACCAGTGATGGATTGGGTAATTTTTAGAAACACTGCTCTGGGCATCTGTCTCATTCTTCTATTGAATCCAATGATTGATTTCTTTGCCTCATTTTGAATCTCTAAAATTGGTGTCTAAGCTCATAAGGCTGTCCCTATTAAAGGAAAGGACCTTTCATGAGCATTTTAACTTCTGTCAAGGAATTCAGAAGCCCATGTGATGTATATTAATAAGGTATTACCACTGAGAATAATGAACAGGAAAGCGTAAAGGCTCTCTAGCATATGGTACTGGGTTAAAGTTTAATGTGGCGTTTTATAACATTTGCAACTTAGCTAGTGATACCTAATGTTTAGGAAAGGGTTTTAAAGAAAACGTAGTATCTGTACCTTACAATCGGATAAATGATCCCTCTGGGTTTCACATTTATGACAGAGCAGACAAGGGAAAGTGGACTTGCTGGCACCATGAAGTGTTCATGCAGCAAAGATTAATGGAAATGTCACAAAAGGCATGGCAGGAACCTGATCCTCCTTGGTTGATGGCACCTAACTACTAGGGTGCTATTTACTGTTTTTCTTATAAGTGAAAGTTGCTCAGTCATGTTCCACTCTTTGCGACCCCATGGACTATATAGTCCGTGAAATTCTCCAGGCCGGAATACTGGAGTGAGTAGCCTTTCCCTTCTCCAGGGGATCTTCCCAATCCAGGGATCAAACCCAGGTCTCCCACATTCTTTACCAGCTGAGCCACAAGGGAAACCCAAGAATGCTGGAGTGGGTAGCCTATCCCTTCTCCAGGGGATCTTCCCAACCCAGGAATCGAACCGGGGTCTCCTGTATTGCAGGCGGATTCTTTACCGACTGAGCTATCAGGGAAGTCCTTTTTCTAATAAACCTGTTAACAAAAGGTGGTACAGAAGATCAAAGCAAACCTGCTTTATTTTCCCTTCATAGCGTCAGTCTGCCTTTGTGTAGTATTTCTTTGTCCAGCTCTCCCTAATGCTGCAAGATGGCAGAATGTTGTGCCTTTATGGCCACAGATGCCATCAGGAAGTAGCATCATTCTAGGAAACTGTAAGGGAGCCATTTAACTTCAAGGAAGGGGATGGCAGAGAATCAGCTGGGACTTTTTGTTCCCTCCGAGTTGTTTTGATTTCACATCCACCTATGCTGGCTTTGTTGTTTTCAAACCAGGTGAGTTTTTTTTTTTTAATTACACTAAAATATGGATTTCTAAAGCTCCTGCTTGCAGCAAATTGCTGCTTACTTTGGGGAGATGCATCAAGTATTTAAAAGATTACTGAAATCTAGTAGTTTTGAAGAACTAATAGTCTCCACAAATATAGAAATGTGGGAAAGCATTTTGGCACTTCTGGGCCCCACTGGAAAGTAACTTATATGGATATAGAACTGTAATTTGCCAGTGGCTGGCCAGGTGATCCAGCAGTAGTGATTTTTGTTTTCAACTACAGTCCTTGATTAGTGCAAATCAACCCCTTTACCATTTCTGTGATGTTTTTGTAAAGCTCACTAGGCTTTCAGAAAGGAAAATCTTAAGTATGCTTTCTCACTGATTAAGCAGATTTCTCTTTGCAAGAGGAAATTCTTAGATGCACTCAGAAGCTGTGCTGTCTTCCAGTTTTGTGGTCACAAAAGCTTGGGTAGCATAAATACGAACAGCAGCCTGAAGGGTACGTGTGGATGCGTGTGCCTACATGTGTTTAGTCTTTTATATAACATCACGACAAGGAGGCCCAAGTCATGAGCTGACTCTCCTGCAGATCAGCAGGTTTAACTGTTTCATGCTCACGGTTTGGTGCCAGCCAGGGTAGAAAGACAGACATAAATTCACTGTGTACTGTGGGAGTAGGGTGGGAACAGCAGTTGCTCAAGGTCCTATTGGCCTGTTTGGTTCATAGCAATGATGAGTGGTACCATTTCCACCTATGATTTTTCAGTACATTTTGTGATTTTTCTGCTAATATTTTTTTCTGTGTACAAAGCCAGGCTAGTTGTAAAATCTACCCTTTTGAACCAGTTAGTCTCATTTGTACGGCGTCTCTGTTACTACATCACTTACTATTTTAACAGTTTAAACAAAGCATTTGTAAAACCTGATTGATTCTTGGAAGTCTACATGCCCGCATTCCCATGGGAACTGAATGAAGCTCCTGTATCTGTAGGCGACAGGCAAAGACAGTCGTGACATGTTGAATTGAAAATGCCTATTAGTGCTGAGAACAGTAAAGAAGTTCAGAGTAGTAATCCTTTTAATTCTGGGAATATTAATTTAAGGTCCCACTCTCCCCCTTTTCACATTTGCTTTTATTTGGGGTCAGAGTGTAAAAAGGAAAAGATTATAGCCTCAGGCTCTGCCCCTTCAGGGGTCAAGCCGGGGTAGTCCTGCAATTGCGTATCTGTATCTGTAAAAAGCTGGGTTTGAGCATTTAGGAAACTAATCTCAAATGTATTCCTATGTCTTAAATGGGGTAACAAATGTGTACTTCATGGGTAGGAAAAAATACTTTATTATAATTATTTGATCTTGAGCTGTTTGCTTTCCTGTGACTGGTCACAGCTGTGACGGTGCCGTCGTGGGTTTTGGAGTCAGGATCCACAGGGCAGCAGGATAAAAGCATCTTGGCTTTAGAGCCGATGGGCCTGAGTTTAATTCTGAGTCTGTGATTTAACCAGCTGTGTCACTCGAACCTCTCTGAGCCTCCGTCTCCTGTTCTGTCAAGTCACAGCTCGTCTCTCTCGGGGCGGCTGTAACTAACCAAGGTAACATGGGCTTTCTTGGTGGCTCAGGTGGTAAAGAATCCACCTGCAATGCAGAGGACCCAGGCTCGATCCTGGGCTCAGGACAATCCTCTGGAGGAGGGAATGACAACCCACTCCAGTATTCTTGCCTGAACAATCCCATCGTCAGAGCAGCCTGGCGACTTTCACCTTGTGGACTTTCTGGTGGTCCAGTGGTGAAGACTCTGCTCTCCCAACACAGGGAGCCCAGGTTCAATCCCTGGCCAGGGAACTAGAGCCCACACGCTGCAACTAAGACCCAGTGCAACTGAATAAATATTTTGGGGCTTCCCTGGTGGCTCAGATAGTGAAGAGTCTGCCTGCAATGTGGGAGCCCCGAGATCAACCCCTGGATCAGGAAGATCTCCCGGAGAAGGGAACCCACTCTAGTATTCTTGCCTGGAGAATCCCGTGGACAGAGGAGCCTGGCAGGCTATAGTCCATGGGGTCCCAAAGAGCAACTAACACTTTGACTTTCAAGATAACATATCTAACGCACCTGGCACAGTGTTGGACAGGAAGTTGAACATGTTGCCAGCTGATGGGTTCTTATTATAAACCTACACTTGAGACCACCCTGCCTTATGAGTTGAGTGATGGTGGCAATCTCTGACCTCCTCCGGTAGGCTCTCGTTTCCCCCCACCCCCCAAAAAATGATTTTAAGTATAACTTGTATTCTTTTAAAAACTAAAGCAAAACCAAACAGCCATTTTAGTGGTTTTCACATTTTGAGACAAATCAAAATTTTCCAGGAGACCGCTCGGGCTAGAGCAGGAACAATTCCGTCTCCCTCCCTGAGGGGTATTGCAGTGAAGTTCACGGAAGAGGAAGACTCTTGATTGCCTGGGTTGAGTGTTGGAGCTGGGCTGTCCTGTGAGCTGTCTTCCCCGGGACCTTCATTCTGCTGGGAACCTTGAGTGCAGCCACAGACTTCAAGGCGGACTCCTTCCTGAAATTTGTAATCTTGTCTGGACAACTTAAACGCTGGATAGTATTTGCTTTGCTGTTGCACTTCTCCCATAAAATGATTGAGACCATCCTTGAAAGTAATGGAATGGACACCTGCAGAGATCAAAAACCACTCTTAGAAAAGTTTTTTGTTGTTGTTCTAGGACAACGAATAAATATTGTCATTTCAGTTTTTTATTTAGAAGGTGGAGAAGAAGATCCCTTTTTCTTCCTTCAGTAGTACTTTTATTAAACTCCGTGGTGATGATCAGAAGCTGTTAGCTATATTTGAGTGAGGAATATTTTCTGAATGAAATCTGTCATCTGCCCCAGACATTGATTTTCATTTTCTCTTTCAAAAGGTAGTTTCAACTATACTTTGTGTGGATGTTGCTTTTGTAAGTACCAGCCTGATTCTCGAGAAGGAACTAAAATAGATTTGAAAATATTTCAGATATGTTTATGTATGATAATTGACCTGTGTTTATTAGTAATCTGATTAAAGAAAAATAATTAGGAAATAAAAAATTCTTTAATCCAGAAAAAAGCTTACCAATTACAGAAGGTTATGGAAATACGTTAACCAGTTTGTATCCACTGTTTATTTCAAGGCATTTTCTTTCCTGTCCACATCTTGCCCTCTCTGTAGAAGTTGGAGTAGAGGGATCTGGGATTTTAAACCTTGTGGGCCAAGAATTCTTATAAGAAGGAAGATTGAAGTAGGAAGAAGGGAATCTAAATTTTCATCATAGACTTGCTGCCAACTAACATTTGACTTGGGCAAGGAACTTCATTTCATGGGTCTGGGCTTCCTTGAATGTAAAATAATGCTGATTGAGATGCTTTCCGAGACCCATTCAGCTCATTTTCTTCTTTTATTCCAAATGCCTATGTCACAGGTTAACATGACTTTAAATAAACCCCGTATCTGAAACTTCTACATTTCTCTAAGCCGCAAATCAAAATGCATTAATTAAATCTCCCAGCCTTTGGAGGGAAAGATTTCTGAGGATTTATCTGTTGCTGTTTTTTTTCCAGTAGGCATTTGCTAACCATTTAGTATATTTCCAGCCCTAGGCTGGGCAGTAGAAGTAAATAAAAAGCAGAAGGATTCCTAGATGCAGTTGACAGTTGAACTGAAAACACCTTAAATAATTATCACGCAAAAGTGAACTAGTTATAAAAATTATTATAAAATATAATTAAAGCAGCTGATATTTATTAAGCACTTTTTTTCTGCTGGCATCAGCATCATTTAAACCTTGCCCCTAATCCTGTGAGACAAATGATGTCATCAACCCAGTTTTATAGAGAAAACTGAGGTACCAGGAGGGTAGTGAATTGTCTGAAGTTACTCTGCCATGCCAAGGATTTAGATAGGATGTCTTCCTTGCCTTAGCACCCCTGGGTCCCCTCTTAGGTAAATAAGTTTGTTGTTTAGTTGTGAGTCTGTGGACTGTAGCCTATCAAACTCCTCTGTCCATGGGTTTTCCCAGGCAAGAATACTGGAGTGGGTTGCCATTTCCTTCTCCAGGGGATCTTCTCGACCCATGGATCAAACCTGTATATCTTGAGTCTCCTGCATTGATAGGCGAATTCTTTACCAATGAGCCACAAGGGAAGTCCATAGTAAGTTTAGGGATTGAGAAAAAGTAAGAGAGTAGGCTGGGGGCGGGAGGATGGCTACAGACTTTCTAAGCCAACTTTGATTGAAAGGCAGAAACAAATGGAACAAAGATTATTTTCTTAGTGTGGAGTTTGACATTTTTAATGTCATTTATTGTATATTTAGGTTTTCTTGCACACGGCATGAATTTTAGGCAGCCTAGAAATGGAGAGTCTCATAAAATGAGAAAGATGATTTCAGGAGAAAACAATAATCACATGATTGTGTGCTTTGGAGAAATCAGTCCAAAAAAGAGCTAGAATTGGGTCAAGTGTTGGAAATTGCTCAGCCCTGCCGGTAAGGAGTTGCCCAAAGCGGTAGGAATTGGGGGGAGTTTGCTGGATATATTCAAGGCAGCTTTTTGCCCATTGGAGGATTGTAGTGTCTCGTTTGTGTCCCTTCAGCATGACCTGCAGAAGTGATATTTCAGATTGTGGTCTCTGTGAGAACAGGCAGAGTTCTCCCCTGCCTGTCTTCAGTGGAGAGTCTCGGGGACATGGCCAGGCTAGTCCTCGTGACACGTAACTCCAAGCCTGCACTTATACAGACTCTGGGGTCTTAAGCGTGTCAGGGAAGCTGGGATGTGTTACAGAGTGTGAAGTGAGCTGGAGGGTACCAGCCAAGCCTTCATTCATCCAGGGGCTCCCAAACATCGTTACGATGGAAAATCTGGTCCCCCAAAGAAGCAAAAGCGGTCTCACCTGGAGCCCCTTTCCCCAACTAGGGAGTCCACTGCTGCCTGTACAAGCAGAACGACATTTCTCCTCCCCTCCTGCTGCTCCTGCCGCTGCGAGGGAGAGGGAGTTGCCCGGCGGCCGGGCAGCCTCGCCTTCTCGCGCTGTAACCCTCTGCTGGCGAGCTCCCAGGACCAGCATCCCAGCCGGCTGGCTGCCGCCGCTCCACCGGGAAGATGGAGCCGCTCCCAGCCCTCCTCGATTAGGATATGTCAGGGTTGTCAGGGCAACTGTTCACGGCAGCATCTCCTGCTTCCCCTTCTGTGCTGAGTATTTTCTGTGTGGTAGCGGGAGGAAGGCTGGGAAAAGGTGCCGAGCAGGAGGGAGAAGCTGGGATCTGACTGAGCAGGTTAGGCAGCGGAGAGAAGCGTTGGCCCCTGCGTGCCTTTCGCAGGGCTTTTCTGCAAGGAGAGAGTGTGGGGGTGTGTGGGCGTGGGTATGGGTGTGTGGGCGGCGAGCTTGAGCCAGCACACGTGCCTGTGAGGAGTAAGTGGAAGGGGGCTGGAAGGGGAGGGGGCGCTGCTAGGTGAGGGGGAACTGCAGGGCCTCAGTTGCCAGGAGGCTGGTAGTATCTGTCAGCTGTTTGCACACTGTTTCCCCATAGGGGATCTATTACAAGTGCTCAGATGAACCGGCAGCTTAGAAACTAGCGGCTTCCTGGAGCTGCAATTATATAAGCATATACTTTGGGTATACTAGTAATTAAAAAACAAGTCGCAGCGGTATGCCTGGATCAGCTACAGCTCTCCGACAAGAGAGACTGAAGAAGACCCATGCAAGGCCAGTCCCGCTTGGTCTATTCACCATTAATGAGGAAGATGAGCAGCAGAAGAATGGACATTCCAGAAGACCAAAAGGTATGCCTCAGCCCTACCCTGTGGTCAGAGCCAGACCAGCCCCCCGTTTCCCACACTCCCTCCAGCACTCCTATCAACTGGACTCCGGTGCACGCTGTGTGAAGTGGTGGTGACCTGCTGGCACAGTTCACGGGTTATATTTACACACTCTGTAGGGCTGTGTGTGTCTGAAAGGGAGAACAGATTTTTGCAGATTGGGTAGGTTTCAGATCAGCTGCCTACTTGACTCAAGATGCTTTCTGGGCCTAGAGAGCTTTACTCTTCACCTGCTCGCTTAAACAGTCACCAGTGACTGTGCTCATCAAGAGGAGGGAATGTGAGTTCTCAAGGTTAAAATGAATAGCTCCCCGCCTCCCGTAGGTGCATCGGGCGATTTTCTCCTTGAGAGAGATGAGTTGGATCGAGTGACCCGAGTGCAGCCTTTCCATGGGCAGAGGGTCAAGCTGTTACTTGCTTTTCTGTTTTGGAGTGCTGAGAGAGGAGGAAATCAAACACCAAGCAAGACTGTGGGAGGCAAGGCTGGGGAGCAGGGAGGAGACCCTGAGGTTTTATAACTTCTGATGGCAACTCTGCTGCATCTGAGTAGAGGTTGAAATGTGCCGGTATGGAAAGGAGAGGACCAGTTCTTGTGCTGTCCCTTCATCAGGATGAAATGGGGCCGCAGCTCGCTGGCTTCTTCCATCCCAAGTACTGCATCATCTTTAGCGCTGTCTCACGGCTGCCGTCCTGGGCCTGCAGTCACCATTCAGACAGCAACACCATGCATTTTTGAAGCAGGACTTTAAGGCTTACATTTTCCAGTATCATTCTTGCAGCACCCCCTTCCCACACATAGATGAGCTATTAAGCTGATCGGCTATCAGTTTTGCTGTTTCCTATGTTCTGATTACATTTTAGCTCGTGTTCAAATTGTTCTGTCCCCGAGAGATCACATTTTGCTCAGTGTATCTCAGAGCTGTAGCATAGCAAAGGAGCACGGAAATGTTTGAGCCGTGACGGAGTGAGCGTTTGCATAGAAGCCACTGTCTGAAGACAACTGGCTCTTTCTCTCCTCGTTCTGGGTTCAATCTCTTTGCTTTTAGGAAATATAATGTAAACTCTCTAAACCAAAAAGTGTATTTTAATCTCATCTTTAAAAGGCTATACAGGGAAGTCCTCATAAGTAGAGTCTGATTACTGTCGTTGATCTCGTTTCACTGTCAGACTTCGTTTCTGTCTGAGGACCAGCCGTCTTCAGGTGTCTGATGCAGTATGACTAGAAGGTGATTCAGGTGATTCTTTTATTTGCCTGTGAACTAGATCTTGGTGAAAACTCAATGCTTTAAATTGTTGGTAGCAAATCATTTGGCTTCTGGCATTTGGTAGCTTTGAAAAATTAATGTGGATTTGTTGAATCGTGGCCACTATGTGTTTTTGGGAAAGTTGTTGATTTGTGGCTCTTTCCCCCCTGTGTGTCCTAGAATGGTAATTCAGGATCATCATCCATTCTGTCCTTAGTCATTTTCTTGAATTTCCTCTCTGTCTCCTGTTCTTTTCAGTTGCCTCTAGGATTTTATTTAAAAGGAAAGAGGGCTAGGGGACGGAGGTGCTTCTTAAAATCTATTTGCTTTTGGCAATTTATGCAACTTCTTGGGTAAGAGATTAAATTGAGGAGTTTCTGATCCCCCACTAGTTTGTTTTTTTCTACCTTTCCCCACACCAAGGGCAGAGGGAGGGGGAACGAGTGGGGGGAAAGCCTATACTGGTAAGGATGTCCAGACTTTCTGTATATCCCAGAATGTCTCTAATTTAGGACTCATTCAGTAAAATAAGCAGATCAGTCATCTTGGGTGTCTCTTCATGGGTAAGACTATTAACTTCGATTCTGAATTTGTCGTCAGGTCTATAGGAGCAATAGGAATGTTCACTTTAAGTCTAGCTTTGTCCATCAGGAGGACAGTGATGGAAATACTGTCTGCACTGTCCAGTATGATAAACCATTAGCCACATGTGGCTAAGAGGACTTACAATATGGCTGTTAGAGCTGGGAAACTGATGTTTAAATTTTATTAATTTTTAAAGATTTTATTAAAATTTTTTTCAAAATTTTATTAAATTTAAAGATGGCCTCATGTGGCTAGTGGCTACTTTACTAGATAACACAGTTCTAGTCCGTAGAGCTATGACTTTCTGAATTTGTCCTCTTTGTCCATGCTTGATTGCTTCCTGGTGCTAGATATGGTCAGTCCTGAAATGAATGTGTTATTAAGAAGGGCAGCAGGGAGCAGACAGTCTGCTCTCTGCAGAGTAGCACATTAACCTGGATTTATAGATAACCTCATTTTTCCTTTCCCACTTAAATGTTATTGCCTGCTCTATGTATTATCCTTACCAGTTGCTCATTTCCTATGCCATTTTAATGAACTCCTATTTTCTGTATTAACCCCAAAGCATCACAGCAGGATAACATATAGTTTATCTTTTAGTCTAACCTTTTAAGATAAGCAGTCAAAAACTTTGGGTTTTGTTTTGTTTTTTTTTTCCTGCTTACTACATGATCTAATCAGCCAACCATGTTCCAACCTGGTTTTCAGTGTTTAGTATCTTTCTTGTATCATTTCCAGGAATGGAGAGGCTCGCTATCTGAATTGAATAAGCTGAATGTTTCTGTCGGGATTGCCCCGGGTTAATGGCAGTCACACCTTTCCGGGTGCTCTGTTGCTGGGTTCATCAGTGTGGATGAACACGTCGATCACCATCTGGACTCCCAGCGGTGGCTTCAGAATTACCTGATGGGGTCATACTGTAGTTTGGTTAGCTGGTAGGCTAGATCAACTATTAAAGGAGAGATTTCTCTCCTGTATAATCAATAGCAATGAATGTTTTACATGCCTGCTTGTTACTGATGTATAGCACTTAGTAATTGGGAATGAGCTGGGCTTATGCTGTTCTTACACCTCAGAACCCAAGCCTCCATGTAATGCTGCCTGTATAACTTGCTTAGGAGAGATCGTTTAGGTATTGCAGTGACTGAATAGGTTTCAAGGCCAAATTGCCTTATAAGTTTTGCTGAGTTCAGTGTGATAATTTAGTAATATGATATTTCTCCCTAAACCAGCATTTGTTAATTGCTCACTATATGCAGATTACTCTGCTGGCCATTGGAAGGGCTACAAAGATAACTGACATGGTTTCTGCTCTCAGAAGTGTTTAACTGTCTAATAGAAGAAGACAAGTATGTACAAATAATGCAAGGATATTAACTGAAATTAATTAAGGGCTGGTAATGTAATGATGTTACCTCTGCATTCATCCATACCTTTCTCCTAGACTGTAAGCTGCTTGAGGGCCAAATCTACTCCATGTCATAAGTGCTTTGCAGATGCAGGGAAAACTATTGAATGGAGATAGATTTAACATTCAGAAATAATTTTCACTGGTTCTTAAAGGTCTTACTAACGCAGGGATTCTGAGAGATGTGGATGGTGTTAGAATCATCCTTCCAAGGTAACTACTATGAAGGAGTGTAGCATTTGGATATATCTGATGTGTTCATTGTATTATTCTCTGCGGCACTGCATTTATCTAACAGTATATTGAGGATTCTGCTGTTTGTTGCTTTCCATCATAGTATGCATCGTTCTTTTTGAAAAAATACAGGTATATGTTCACAAGGTAGAGTCAGTTGACTACTTGTTATTATCCGGTGAACCCCTTCTGCCCCTCTTGTTAGCTAATCGCAGGTTAGAGTGTAAAGAAATAAAAATTTCTCCTTGAAATCAGGACACAGTAGTTGTGAGGAACTAAGCTCCTCTTCTCCCCTTCCCCCCGTTTTGTTAAAAATGTGTATTGATGGAGCCTCCAAGCGACTCTTCTTTCAGCTTGTCCCTCGTAAAGGTAGAATTTCTGTCAGTTACGGTTTCCAAATGAAATACAATCTACCATTTACTGTCTATATTCCTATTGGATAGGTGGTGATCTCACAGCTGTAATGTCCTCTTTGAAAGTCATGGGTCTTTTTCTTTTCCAGGCAAGTGATGTGTTAAGACGTGTGAATGCCATTCTAGAATCATTCTTACACATTTCCTCGTTTCTTTTTCTCTTTTGTAAGACTTGGACCATTGTCTGTTCCCAGTGTTCTTATTTGTGCCATTTGAAGACTAGGCAAAAGGCTTTAGCCATAGAATTTTACAGCTAGTGAGGCAAAAGTATAGTTTAGAAGAACAGTGATACCAAAGATCTCTATTATGAGGAGAAACATCTTAGACAAATTGATTGGCATATCTTTTATTTGTTAAAGAAACCCTAAATGTATTTATTCAAAGCATTTATATTTTTTCAAAAAGAACAGAACCAGGAACAAGGACCACAACATCTAATGTATGGCTTGCACTCATTGGATTCTCCATGAATATCTGTACGTAGCTGTCTTTTAGGCATCCCATTGTTCTAGAAGTAGAAATTAGCATAGATGGATCACTGTGTACTAGGGAAACATGGTTTAACTGGTACATAACCACGTTTTTTTGAAAAGTGAGCTACTGTATGTAATGAAATTTGTTTCCTATCTAAAACTCTAATAGGTTTAAAACTTGTGTGCCTGTTTCAAGAGCCGTAATTGATCGAGCTAAAATTTAGCTGACTGCTCCAACCATAAGAAGTCAAAACACATATTTGATGAGGCTGTCCCAACTGATAAATCTTAGGCCTTATTTATTGGAAGATTGATGTGAGTATCCATTTCCACTAACATCAGCATGTCTCAAGGAGCATTTAATTTATTGCTGCCAAAAATTTTCCAGGTGACTTGCAGGCACCTTGACCATATTTTTTAGCAGAAACGAATATCTTCACAGCAACAAAAGTAATTTTGAGAGAGTCATCTTAATGCTCAGATTTTTGTAGGCATTTAGAAAAAGGCCCCTTTATATTGGACCCTCTGTGGGGTGTTAGGTTTAGGTTGCAGATTTGCTAGCTTCCAAAGGCGAGTCATACCACATTATACCTCAGATGCAAAGGCC